TTGTTGATGGGTGATAAATAGTGTATTAATCTGTCTTTTAGATTACTATTTTTTTAGTTAAATAATTATATTAATTAAGAAGGTATTATTTAAGAGTAATGGATAAAAATTTAAATTTATGTATTTTAAGTATAAATTTAATAATTATTTTTTATAAAAAAAAGATAAATATTACTTAAAGTCTTTAATCTAGTATCCAATTAAAACAGTACATGTATATATTTTTTTAAAAATATGTATATAAATATTTAGATAAATTATAAGTATTTTCTCATATTATATATATTTTAATAAAAAAAATATTTTTAAAAAATATACATACGACGACGTTCTAATTCCGTATAGATTGAAGACAATTCCTATAATTTATGAGTATAAATTTTTAACTTTTTTTTTTAGTAATATCTTTTTAGCTAAATAATTATATTTTAACTCATGCGGTAGGTTGAGTAATCGTTTTTTTTTTCTCTTTCTTTTTTTTTTTTTTTTTGGCGCATATCCGAAAGTGGACAGCATTTTCCCGGAAAAATATCGAGTGGTGGGAAGGAAGGAAAGTAGAAAAAGCTAAGAGAAGAGAATTCCGAGTATTTCAGTATTTCCTCTAATGGCGGTTCTCTCATGAAATTCGAAACTGACTATACGACGTCGTGGTTCGCCAGCTTCTCATGACTCTGAGCTCCGACTCTCGCGCTCCTTCGCTGGAGTGGAAGTTCTCTCAGGTTTTCGGCGAGCGAGCTCCGGGCGAAGATGTCCAGGACGGTTAGATTTTTTCTCTCTGTGTGCTAGGGTTTTATTTTCCTGGCTGGTGTTTGGTTGCTCAGAAAATAGGAGAACAGAGAATTGCTTGACGAATCTTAAATTAGTGTGTTTTGTTTACTGAACTTCAGCTCCGTTTTCATGTATTTTATTTTATTTTATTTTTTGATTTTCGTGGTTGTGACTTGTTAGTTTACCAATTCTTCAACTACCTAAAATTTAATGGAAAACGAAAGGGGAGAATTTAACATGGACAGAATGCAAATGGCGATTCAAAATTAATTAAGGCTCAAAAATCAAAATTTAATAAAATAGATAATGCAATTAAGGGGTTTGTTGTGGTTACTAATTATTAGAAAAGTTTAAGCTAATTGCAGGTGACCGTTATTAGTTTTTTGTTTGCCGGTACTTCCAAACTGACTATTTTGTGTTAAAAAGCATAATTTATCAATGAACGTATCTAAAAGATTGACTCTCTTCTAAGTAATGTGGTACTGTTTTTAGTTGATATTATATCTGCGATGGGGTTCGATGCAAGTGGCGATTATCTTGCTGTCGGGGATCAAGGTGGCCGCGTTGTGATATTCGAGAGGAAGGATGGGAAACATGTGAGAAATTTTTGTTACGGCGGTTTTCAGTTCTTTAAATGCGCAAAACAAGCATGCTTGAAAACATTTGTGTGTGTAACAAAAGAATGTTCTGAGTTCATTTTGCGAAAATATTCTTTGTTAGGACGGCAGCCGTATTCATTTGTTGGCATCTGATGATTGCATAAAAAATTGGGTTTGTGATCTTTTTTACACTTGACTATTCGATTCTTAGACTTCAAATCAGAACCAGTCTCGTGCTGAGTTGGAGCAACTGGATTTCAACTCCACATGGAATCCTGAATTTAAATACAAGACCGAATTTCAGAGTCATGAGCCTGAGGTTTACTCTCATTTTTGTGATTTAAAAGTGCATCTTTGCCGATGCAGTTTATCCGTGCTTGAGTATGGTGGTGATTATAATGGTGTTTTGTGTATGGACTTTGCAGTTTGACTATTTAAAGAGCCTAGAAATTGAAGAGAAGATCAACCAAATAAGATGGTGTGCTACGCCCAATGGATCACTCTTCATCCTTTCCACAAATAACAAAACAATTAAACTGTGGAAGGTGTGGATACTTCTGAACAAATAAATTATCTCTAAAGAATTCTGCATTTCAATGAACTTGTGAAGAATGATAATGTATTTCTCTTGTTAGAGGGTGGATACTAGGACTCTTGGTCGGTTAGGGATTTAAGAAGTTGCTGGTGCCATGGGGGGGTGTAGTACAAATTGTTTAGTTTGGTCACTGGAAAATGTTTTGATTCTTCAAGGATTTCAGTGATGCTAGAATTCAGGGTAGACAGTCCAAAATACTCTATAAGAAGAGCTAAATCAAGGTGTTTCTCATCCTAATCATTTGGTGACATTTGAATGCGCGTATTTCCTTGTGCATAAATCTATGAACTTTTCATTCTAAAATCACTACATTCCAATGTATGTTTTAGTTGGGAATGTATGACTTGTACATGTCTAGAATTAGGAGAGAATTTGGGGATTCCTCAATCAGAGGATTTTTTTTTTAATCTGATTGATTTGGTTAGATTAGTTTCTGATCTATAGCTAGGATTAATTGTATATACATGTGATCCTATGTACAGAGTAAAAGACAACGAAGAGAAATTCTTTCCTCTCAGTTTCTTTCTGACCTTATTTAGTTCTTGATTAGTATTGGCAGGTAGTACCTCCGTTTTTATTAATTGCGGAGTTTAGTTAGTAATACCCCGCTTAAGTAGTAAAAGTGCTACTGCTTACTGGGGATTAGAAAGAAGAATGTATGTGATAATGTTATAACTCTTGGGTAGAACTCTTCCCCAAAAGCTAGTTTGTAGGGAGAGGGTGCCCAAGTGGTTATAAGCCCACATGCTAAGCCCATACTTTAGCAATGTGGGACTCAATCAGGATCCTAACATACCACCACACTTTCGACACCGACGTCCACGGAGGCCCACTCTGGCCTTTTCAGGTCGCCCCTTCCGCAACGTGAGCCTGAGGAGGAGCATGCTCTGATACCAATTGTTATAACCCTTGGGTAGAACTCATCCCCAAAAGCTAGCTTGTAGGGAGAGGGTGCCAAAGTGGAAAGGCGACCTGGGGAGGGGCGACCTCGAAAGGCCAGAGTGAGCCATCCAGAGTGGGCCGCCGTGGACGTTGGTATCGGAAGCGTGGTGGTATGTTAAGATCCTGATTGAGTCTCACATTGCTTTAGCATGTGGGTTTATAACCACTTGGGCACCCTCTCCCTACAAGCTAGCTTTTGGGGATGAGTTCTACCCAAGGGTTATAACAGATAAACGCCCAAAGATATTTTGGGTCTATTTAATCAAGTAGAAATGGGAGAAATGAAATTACTTTTGAGGAGCACCCAAAGCAAAGAACAATACGCAGGATCTATGTTCAGTGACGGGGATTAATGAGACTGGACGCATTTTATTGACTTTGTGATATTGTTTGAACAATTAACACTTCTTATTCTTAATTTGAGGGCAGGTTACGGAGCGTAAGGTGAAAAAAGTAAAAGACATGGACCCTTATCCGCTTGTAAGTTCAGAGAATGTCCTTTTGGCTGAAAGTAGTTTCATGACCGAACAAGACAAGCCATCCGTTTCTAATGGCTATCATCCAGAACGGATGGAAAAGATGGCCAAGAGCATGTCACCATCACAAGATCGATATGTTGAGGTTGGTAAAATAGGATTTTTGAAAATTTTTCTTCTTTTTGACAATTGCATTAGATCCTTCTGAGTATAAAAGGTTATCATGCTAGTCTTTTGCTTTACTAGATTGCGGATATGGAAGATATTGCACATACAAGATGTCGGAAGGTGTACGCTCATGCTCATGATTTTAATATTAACTCCATCTCAACCAATAGGTAAAATGTGGTTTTTATTATTTATTTATTTATTGTGACTCCATATATATGTGTTTTGGTTACATGCAGTTGCAGATTACATAGCACATGCATTGTTTCTTTAATCTGTCCATAAAACCATCCGTTATCTTTTCTTTTAGGGTAACAACCCTGAATTATAAGCATTATGAAACTTTGGTTCCTAAACTTTTGACGAATTATTTTATGAACTTTTATGTTTTGGTGGACCAAGATCTTGTCTCTTTTTCATGTCTCCCTATTCTGTCCCTCCAGTTCGATTTGGACACCACATTAAAATAAGCCATCTCACTCTTAACAGACTTCCTCTATATTCCACTCCATTACTACCCTATCTCTCTCTTTTTTAACTTTTCTACTCTTCACTTTATGTGTGGACCCCACATTATTTTTTCATTTTTTAAAATTGAAATTGGAGGAGATATGTGATACCTCCCAAGTTAAAACCGTTAAAAGTTGTCTTTTTTTTCCCCCTTGGTTTTCTCTTCTTCCTCCTTCAATTGAAAGCGGCGTTTGATATACCATTTTCCTTTTTCTTTTTTCTCCATTGAAACAACTGCTCTCCTTAGGGGAAAAAAAGGTCCATGCTCTGATCAACTCTTGTGAGTTTGTGATATGAGCTATTTCAGGTGCATATTTTTTCTTTCTTTTTTCTGAACGTTTTTCAAATTCTTTCAATTGGAGGAGGAAGAGTAAACCAATAATAATAATAATAATAATAATAATGATGATGATGATTATCATGATCATAATAAAAGAAACAGGTTTTTGACTTGGGAGAAAAAAGAGGAAGAAAAATGGTATATCAAACATTGCTTTCAATCGGAGGAGGAAGAAGAGAAAACCAAAAAAACAAAAGATAAAAGAGACGGTTTTGACTTGGGAGGTATCAGATATCTCCTCCAATTTCAATTTAGAAAAATGAAAGGTAATGTAAGGTCCACACATAAAGTTAAGAGTAGAAAAGTTAAAAAAGAGAGAAAGGTTAGTAACAGAGTGAAATATAAGGGGAGTTTGTTAAGAGTGAGTTGGCTTATTTTAGTGTGGTGTCCAAATCTGATTGGGGGGACAGAGAGAGAGAGATAGGAAAAAGGGACAGAGGATATGGGTCCTTTTTTGGTAGTTTTGGTCCCATAAAAGGATGATGAATTTCTGTGATTAACAAAGGTAATCACGTGTGCATCACGTGATAACTTGAAATTTTTTAGAAATATAAATAGTAACGTTAAGCTCAAAATGTTCTTTTTATTACTTTTAAAGACCCTTAAAAACTAGAACATTATGTGCATGAGGTCACTATTTCTGTAGAATCTCTAGTTATTATGCGATAAGGATAGGCTTATCTTTGTTAGAATTCGGAAATCCTTCATCAATTTTTGTATCAGGGACCACAGTTACCCAAAAAAAAAATTCAGGGAGTAATTTGCCAGAACAAAGTGTTTTAGTGCTCATAGTTCAAGGGCTACCAGTGATAATAATCATTTTCTTGTTCTGTTCATTCTTTATTTAGTTCTTAAGTGGTTAAAATTCTGTAGATATTACACTGTCTAAGGGGATATCTGGTTTCCTACTCTATGTCCAGCGACGGCGAGACATTTATTTCTGCAGATGACCTTAGAATAAACTTGTGGAATCTTGAGATCAGTGGTCAGTGTTTCAACATTGTCGACATGAAGCCATCAAACATGGAGGATCTTACCGGTACTTGTGTCCATCCATTATTAATTGTATTTTGTGCTCCTCTATTTGAACTTCACATTTTCCCTTTTTTTTTGTATCCCATGTCTGACACTCGAGTGTCCCTGATTTTTCAATCTTCTTCTAACTGTTCTGTTTAATTTTTACAGAGGTTATAACGTCAGCTGAGTTCAATCCAATTCATTGTAATTTATTTGCATATGGCAGCTCAAGAGGGTTTATTCGTCTAGTTGACATGCGGCGGTCAGCTTTATGTGATCACAGCGCGATAATGTCAGTTTCTTCTGAATGTTTTACTTATGTTCATTTTGGGTTTGAGTTTGATCTGTGCTGGCTTGTCTGTGATTTTACTATTGTGATTTCTCATGTTTTACACAGATTGCAAGATGGAGATTCACGTGGGTTGAAATCTTTTTTCACAGAGATCATTGCATCTATCTCCGATGTGAAGTTCTCAAAGGATGGGCGGTACATCTTAAGTCGTGATTACATGAATCTAAAGGTTTTATTAATTGATTTTGATTCCTTTTTCCCCTATCTCTGCATATTACAGCTGAACATTTAAAACCCGAGATGTTTATTTCCTTCTCTTAACCAAGTGTATGATTCCACTTTTTTGCACTTCTCTTCTAAGTAGACCTTATCCGTCCTTGTTTCAGGTAAAGATATTTATCATTGAACAATTCTCAATATAATATTATGCCTTGAAAGGGACTTGAACCTCCTGATTCTTTAGCACGAGATTTTGAGTCTCACGTGTCTACAATTTCACCACCAAGGCATCTTAAAAATGAATTGTACTCCATGGATATGATATCTATACTATGTAATGTACGGAATACATGACAAAGTTGGAGTGTTAGACATTTATTGATTGGTCATGACATATAGGAAGGAGTTGGGCATCCAATTGGTTTGATTTGAATTATCTGGAGGATGCATTATATTTTATACAAATATTTTATTAAAAAGGTGGACAATCAAACCTATTTCTCAATTCAGTTGAAGCCCAAAGATGTGAATAGGAACCCAAATGACGAGAGATGTAAAAAGTAGGTCCGATTTCCTAGAGAAGTTGATGGCCATCCTAGATAAGCTACTAAATTCTTCCTTTTTCGTTTCCCACTCGTTTCCGTTTCCAATACAGCATTTAAAGCTTCTTTGACCCAACTACACTTGTATTCTATAATTACATCTTAACTTTATGTATTCTTTTGCTGTTCAAATTTGGAAAGTAAATTTCGGGTGTCTTAATGTGTGTTTTGAGTGTTGTCTCATTATGAACTACAATTGATGCTTTCATTTCTTTTATCTAGCTATGGGACATGCACATGGATTCTTCGCCAATTGTAACATACAAGATTCATGAGCACTTACGCCCTAAGGTCAGTTGATATGTTCTTGATACCTAATTGAAGATCTGAGCAAGTATATGACTGTTCAATTTCCAGAGGTTTTATTTCCTTAAGAGTTATGACATTTAAGGCATCGTTTGCTTCGCAGATTCGAGTTTTCAATTCGAGCTGAGATGTGACATTTTCTGAGAGCTTTTAACTGTAGCAGAAAAAGTTAGATGTGGCATATTCTTAGAGCTTTTAACTGTAGAACCTTAAAACTGAAAACTCGAATCGGTGAAATAAACGAGGCTTAAGTTTACTTTTCTTTATGGTGGTTTCTTTTGCAAGAATTTCCTTGTAAGCCCTAGGGGCATGTGATTGAACATTTTATTCTCTTAGTTTTCTTTATTAATTAATTGAAGGGGGGCATTTGGTGGAATGAGATTGCTAGTGGGCGGTAATCTGGTTGGGATGCTACTGTGCTAGTAGTCTCTGTCAACTCTCTTCTATTATCATATATGTAAAGAAGTATGGCTGTTTGATTTGATGGCCGTATTGTACATTAGAACCATCATTACTCTTTCCTGCTTGCAATCTCATTTAATTACTTATTTTTGGCTTCACAATAATCAATAATTGTTTGAAAAACCTTCTCTATCATGTGTATGCTTTAAATTCCCAGGAGTGAGTGAGTTAATTTCTCGAACTTGATGAAGACGTAATATTCATAACTTGTGAGTGTTAGGTGGAAAAGTTGAAACTCTGCCGGCCCTTGATTGATTATAATTTCTTGAACAAAGAAGCACTTGCTGTTGTTACCATAAGATTTCCAATCTAGTACTAGGAAATTTTGTCCTCTAATTACGGGGCGAACGTGTGCATCTTTAATTTTGTCCTCACACACCTTCCTATTACTGACACCTTACCATGTTTTCTGGCAGTTATGCGAGTTGTATGATAATGACTGCATATTTGATAAATTTGCTTGCTGTCTCAGTGGAGATGGACGTCGTTTTGCTACTGGATCTTATAGGTCTCTCATCTTAACTGCAGTTGCATCTTAAATTATGAGGGATATTTTTAGCAATCAACTTGTGATTTGACCAAAGCTTGCAGCTTTTCTGACACAAATGTTCGTAATCTTGAATCAGCAATCATTTACGTATTGTCTCTCGTGGTGTTGGAAGTGAAGAAGGAATCACGATAGAGGCTAGCAAACATCCTGTCAGGTGGCTTTCTGCTTCTTTTTCTTCTATTTTATGGTTTTTCCCAAATGGTAGTTATTTGAATTGGTGGGAATGAGATTTAAAAAGTAGTAGAGATTATTTTCAATTTTAGTCCCTTTTGTCCCAAATTGGCCCTGAGGATGGATTTACATAACACTACCTATGAATTTTTCTGTCCCAGAAGTAGTTTTTTCTGTCCCAGAAATAGTTTTTTCTGTCAGAAAATTGTTAAGGTGCACCGAGAAATGGACATTTGACTCGTGTGAGCCTTATTTTGTAAGATAATGCAATCTTTTAGCACCTGTTCAGTTGAACTTCCTGATTGAGAAACTTGGCCAGTTTTGATCATATAACTGTCTTGGTCAAAACCTAGAAAGGACTTTTTGACTAATTAGGCGTCAGAGTGGTTAAAACTTTTTAGCTTTTTCCAGATTTAAGTGTGTGCAATTCAGCTCAGTTGTTAAAATGGAAAAATGCATTGGCTAAGTATCAATCCTGCAAACATTGGTCATGGGGAGATGCCCCACATAGGTGGCACTACGTTTTATTTATGTTTCATAGTTTGTTTGAATTTTTCTTAGCTTGGTACTTACTATGGTCTTTTGTAAGTCTGAACTTTATATAATCATACCACAAATAATAAATTGTTGCATAGGATGCTCTAACATCAATCTTTTGAACTTAAATTTTAATTTCTGAATTGTTACATAAACATAAGATGCTCTAATAGCTATTGCAAACTCAAATTTTGCTTTGCTCTCTGAACTTGGTAGCAGGAAGCCGGTTCTCCAAGCTGCTCCAAGGGCTAGAAGGTCTTCCTTGAGCAATCTAACACGTGGATTTTACCGGCAGGGTCGGAGCCATTAAATTCTTCTTTTTCTTTTTCCTCGTATTTGAGTTGTGCTCGGGACATTTGAAAATCACATTGGTGTCAAGGACTCCATTCCCACCAATTGGTTGGTCTGGCTCTTGTGGGGCCCATGTGGTCCTTGGCGAGACCTACACCAAATAAACTCAAGTGTCCTTAGCACTCTTCATTGGACATTGTTTAAGAATACGCTACTTTCTGTCTCTTGTTCCACCTAAAATTTATGTCTGTTCCGATCTTTCAGGACATGAAAATTCAAGCTTAGGAGGCAATGACTTCTCTTGTGACTTAAACTCCAAGTTATTACATCTGGCATGGCATCCCCAAAAAAACTTGATTGCTTGTGCTGCTGGGAGTAGCTTGTTCATGTATTATGCATGAATTTTTGTACAGTTTGCACTCCGGAAAACTGTTGCTCTTTAGAATAGGTAGAATTTGAGATGACGAGAGTTGTCTGGTGAATTTTGTTTTTCTAACAACCGAAGCGAAAAAGAAAGACATGGAAGGTGGATTTGGATCAAAGTAAATTCTGGAAAAGTTATGTTTTTGTAAAGAAAGAAATGACGCTCAAGGCTTAATAAGCTATACCGAATTGCAATGTGTGAAGAGTTTCCGTTGATCAGAATTTTTTACTCGGAAATTACCGAGTCATATACTAGAGAAATAGGAAGTATTTTATGTATTCCGATTGTATATGTTTATGTAATATAGTACGTACTATGTATATGCATGTCTGAAATTATATTTATGGTTTATGAGAATTGTTTAGCACTAGGTTAAAGGGTCTTTCCCCCCTTCTTTTTGTAAACCCTTGACTGCTCGAGTGGTGTTTGCTAACATTACTTTAGAGGCATAATTTTTCAAAGAGAAAATGCAGCATATAGCATTTCTCATATATGCTGATGAAATATATAGCATATTTACATTTACAAAAGACTAGAAAATAACAGCATTTTTAGTTTTAAAGGTGCATACTTTTATTTTTTGGGATCTTATACGTTAACATACTTTTTTTTTGTTGGATTTGTATGATGTTGGGCTAAATTTTCTTAATAACGTAAAAATTAAAAAATATATAAATATAATTATTAAAAAACTTAAGGTGCTTATGATGCGTATAATGTAAATCCCGTAGCGGATCAATTCCAATGAGCCTTTCAAACTAGTACTTTTTATAATCGACTCTATTGCTTCTTTAATAAACGCTGGTTCTTCGATCAAGTTTTGAATGACTTTCTAGTCAGATCGTTCATGCGTTTCGGATATGAAGTCTCATTCGAAGCTTTAGACAAAGGTGCTATTGAGATATTTGGCACATATTAATAGAGGTAGGGTACAAGAAAATCTTCTTTATTTTTATCTTTAATAGGATTTTTTTTCTTTATCCTCCGATTACTCTCTCTCTCTCTTCTGCCCCACCATCTCTATTCCCCGCACTCCAGATTTGTTTCTCTCCTCTCCAACGATCTCTCTCTCCTCCAGACAATCTCTCTCTTCCTCCCACGATCTCTCTCTTCCTCTCATTCTCTGCCTCTTTCTCTCTCTGCCTCGTTCTCTCTCTCTTTCTTTCTCTCTCTCTCTCTCTCTCTCTCTCTCTCTCGTTGGCACAAATCAGGCATGCAGTCGAAGCCCCCAATCGTCGAAGACGTCTTAACGACCTCCCTTTCACGATTTCGGTATCGTGACAATTTCGACTGCCTTTGATTTCTGCCATTTTCTCTCTGCAGTTGTTGATTTTTATGCAGCTGTCTGTGGGAAAAGATTTTGGGTGTTGTTAAGATTTAGCTTCACTTACTGATTCTTCCCCCCGCCAGCTCAATTTCTTAAGCTTACTGTTGTGTGGAAAAATGTGACGGACACATAGACGAACGATAATGCGACGCGTGGCATTGACTACTCCCCACCAAGCGAGAAACCCTCGACGCTTACAGACCCCTCATATTCCGCTGTGAAGGCCCAAGGACGAAGTCCAAATTAGGGCGACGACCCCTTATGGCGTCGACTGATTGCGCCGTCGAGATTGAGGGAAGAAGATCTCTCGACCGCAGAAAGGGCCACCGAAGAAGGCGATTGGACTAAGCAGTGCTGACGACGAGGGGAACGTTCTTTGGAGGACGTGACGGGTTACGTGCAGAAGTGGAGGACGTCTGCAGGCATTAATTGCAAGCTATCAGACTGCCCCACGGGGGACAGAAAAGTATTACGGAGAAGCACAGACCCGTGATAGAAGACTAATTGGCTGAGTGAACAGTGCTGATTAGTGGGCTACGTCTGGGCCTACCAAAGAAGAGCACTTGAGTGCTTCTACCTATGAAGGAAACCCCCTAAGCGAAAGAAGTCCAGTATAAAAGGAGGAAGACCCCCAGTAAAGAAGGGGTTCGGAAAATTCCAGAAAAGAAAAGAACAGATTTAATAAGAACAATTATTGTAAATATTGATTTTCCCAAAAGAAATACAAAATCACAGTGGATGTAGCTCTCATTTTATAGAGTGAACCACTATAAATTTCCTTGTGTCATTTGCCTATGTATGATTTAGTGAATACACAAACACACATTTCCAATAACTCCTCATACGTTGACTACACACACTGGCCGGTAATCCAAAGGGAAACCAAGAGGTAACCCGGTCGGTTTTTATTGGCGAAATTTGACTGTCAACAATTGACGACTCCACTGGGGACCGAAAGCATTCGACCCCCAACAACATAGTTATAAACCGCCGTCCATCCAGGGAATAGCGGGATGGAAGGAGATCTACGCCCGGTCGGAAACGAAGTCCCACCTCCAGACGCGCCACGGCCGGATCCGATGCAGATGCAGGCCCAACTAACCACTCTAACCGAGCTGGTACGTGGGCTAATGACCGTGGTTGAGCGCTTAGATGGAAGGAACTCCATGCCGCCATTAGAAGATGCCCCGATGCCGCAGGGCACGCCATGGCTGGAGATCCGAACCACGGTGACCGCCCACATATCCAAGAGGGAACCGGGGATAGTGAGAATCACCGGGGCCTTCCTAGGCCTCGGCCTTCCCAATCCTCCGGCAGCCGTTTGGGGGCCGCCGGACTCCGAGCTCCCGAGGACCGGGTACCGAGAGGTCTAGGAAACCCCGAGGTACTATCCCAGAATCTAGGTGGAAACCCGCCAGGAGACTTAGGATCAGTATAGGCAAGTGGCCAGGCCCGAGGCGGACCCAACGTTCAGAGGGCAGAAGCGTCGAGAGTAGCCGGCTCGGCCATTTCGACAGAGGAAGCACGCGCCATCATGGAACGTATGGCCAGCTTGGAGCAAAAACTGACATGGGACGTGGCGGGCCTAAAAAAGAATATAGGTCGTGTGGCTGAGGTGGTAAACGTCGATATCACGCCCAACCGCACACATGACCATCCATTTACCGAAGAAATAATGGCGCCCCCTCTCCCCGATAAATACAGGTCGCCATCAATCCCACCGTATGATGGGCGAGGAGATCCCGACGACCATTTGGAGATGTACACGGGGCACATGCTCTTGCACGGTTACGCCGGGGAGATCATGTCCCGAGCCTTTCGAAACCATTTAACGGATTCTGCCCGAAGATGGTTTCGGACGCTGAGGCCAAACTCCATCTCAAGCTGGGACGAGTTGAAGGAAGCGTTTTCCCTCCAATTCATA